CCCCCGACTCCTGGGGCCTCTCCAGGGCTCTGTGATCACACACACACACACACACCGCGTGGGGAGGGCTTGGCGTGTGCTTAGCGTGTGTTTGGGGTGGGCTTGGTGTGTCCTTAGTGTGGGCTTGGTGTGTCCTTAGTGTGTCCTTAGCATGGGCTTGGTGTGTCTTTAGTGTGGGCTTGGCATGTGCTCAGTGTGTCCTTAATGTGGGCTTGGTGTGTCCTGAGCATGGGCTTGGCATGTCCTTAGTGTGGGCTTGGTGTGTCCTTAGTGTGGGCTTGGTGTGTCCTTTGTGTGGGCTTGGCATGTCCTTAGTGTGTCCTTAGCATGGGCTTGGTGTGTCCTTAGTGTGGGCTTCGTGTGTCCTTAGCATGGGCTTGGTGTGTCCTTAGTGTGTCCTTAGCATGGGCTTGGTGTGTCCTGAGCATGGGCATGGCGTGTCCTTAGTATGGGCTTGGTGTGTCCTTAGTGTGTCCTTAGCATGGGCTTGGTGTGTCCTTAGTGTGGGCTTGGCATGTCCTTAGTGTGGGCTTGGTGTGTCCTTAGCATGAGCTTGGCATGTCCTTAGTGTGGGCTTGGTGTGTCCTTAGCATGGGCTTGGCGTGTCCTTAGTGTGGGCTTGTTATGTCCTTAGTGTGTCCTTAGTGTGGGCTTGCCGTGTCCTTATTGTGGGCTTGGTGTGTCCTTAGCATGTGCTTTGTGTATCCTTAGCGTGGCCTTGGCATGTCCTTAGCGTGGGCATGGCATGGGCAGCCCCCCTGCACACGCCCCCCCAACACACGCCACACACACGCTAAGCACGTCACACACACCTAAAAGCCACACTGAGGCCACGCCACGCACAGTGTGTACATGCCAAGCACACGCCAAGTGCACATGCCAAGAACATGCCAAGCACACACTGAGCCCATGCTAAGCTCACACCAAAACACCAAGCCGACACCAAGGACACGCTAAGCCCATGCCAAGCACACACCATGCACATGCCAAGCACACACCAAGGCCACACCACGCACACGCCAAGGCCACTCCAAGCACACACCACGCACATGCCACGCACATGCCACATACACACCAAGCCAAAACCAAGCACGTATCAAGACCACAACAAGCACATGCCAAGCTCATGCTAAGCACACACCAATTCCACACCAAGCACACACCACACACACACTAAGCCCATAACAAGCACATGCCAAGCACACGCCAAGCTCCCTCTAAGCACACACCACACACGCACACTGCACATGCCAAGTCCACACCAAATCCATGGCAAGCACACACCACGCACACACTAAGCCCATACCAAGCACACGCCAAGCACACACCACACACACAATAAGCCCATGCGAAGAACCCACCAAGCACACACTAAGCCAAAACCAAGCACACACCAAGCACACGTCAAGCACACACTAAGCCCATACCAAGCACACACCAAGCACACATTAAGCCCATACCAAGCCCATACCAAGCACACACTAAGCCCGTACCAAGCACACGCCAAGCACACACTAAGCCCATGCCAAGCACACACTAAGCCTGTAATAAGCACACGACAAGCACACACCATGCACACACTAAGCCAAAACCAAGCACACACCATGCACACGTCAAGCACACACTAAGCCCATACCAAGCACACACCACGCACACACTAAGCCCATAACAAGCATACGCCAAGCACACACCACGCACACATAAGCCAAAACCAAGCACACACTAAGCCCATACGAAGCACACATTAAGCCCATACCAAGCACACACCAAGCACACGCCAAGCCCGTATGAAGCACACACTAAGCCCATGCCAAGCACACACCAAGCACACGCCAAGCCCATGCCATATACACACCAAGCCACAACTGTGGCCACACCAAGCGCATACCAAGCACACACCAAGCACACACCAAGCACATGCCAAGCACACATTAAGCCCATACCAAGTACACCCTTAACCCATATCAAGCACACACTAAGCCTGTAACAAGCACACACCACGCACATGCCACGCAGATGCCACATACACACCAAGCCACAACTGTAGCCACACCAAGCGCATACCAAGCACACGCCAAGCCCATGCCATATACACACCAAGCCACAACTGTAGCCACACCAAGCGCATACCAAGCACACGCCAAGCCCATGCCATATACACACCAAGCCACAACTGTAGCCACACCAAGCGCATACCAAGCACACGCCAAGCCCATGCCATATACACACCAAGCCACAACTGTAGCCACACCAAGCGCATACCAAGCACACGCCAAGCCCATGCCATATACACACCAAGCCACAACTGTAGCCACACCAAGCGCATACCAAGCACACGCCAAGCCCATGCCATATACACACCAAGCCACAACTGTAGCCACACCAAGCGCATACCAAGCACACGCCAAGCCCATGCCATATACACACCAAGCCACAACTGTAGCCACACCAAGCGCATACCAAGCACACGCCAAGCCCATGCCATATACACACCAAGCCACAACTGTAGCCACACCAAGCGCATACCAAGCACACGCCAAGCCCATGCCATATACACACCAAGCCACAACTGTAGCCACACCAAGCGCATACCAAGCACACGCCAAGCCCACACCAAGCCCACGCCAAGCCCACGCCAAGCACACACTAAGCCCATACGAAGCACACATTAAGCCCATACCAAGCAGACACCAAGCACACACCAAGCCCACGCCAAGCACACACTAAGCCCACACCAAGCCCACGCCAAGCACACACTAAGCCCATACCAAGCACACACTAAGCCCACACCAAGCACACACCAAGCACACGCCAAGCCCACACCAAGCACACACTAAGCCCGTAACAAGCACACACTAAGCCCATGCCAAGCACACACTAAGCCCATACCAAGCCCACTCCAACCACACACCAAGCCCATGCTAAGCCCACGCCAAGCACACACTAAGCCCATACCAAGCACATGCCAAGCCCACACCACGCACACGCCAAGCCCACACCAAGCACACACTAAGCCTGTAACAAGCACACACCAAGCCAATCACGAGCACACACCAAGCACACACTAAGCCTGTAACAAGCACACGCCAAGCACCCACTAAGCCCATACCAAGCACACGCTAACCCCACACCAAGCACACACTAAGCCTGTACCAAGCACACACCAAGCCCATACCAAGCACACACCAAACACATGCTAAGCTCATACCAAGCACACACTAAGCCCATACCAAGCACACACCACGCACACACTAAGCCCATACCAAGCCCACTCCAACCACACACCAAGCCCATGCTAAGCCCACGCCAAGCACACACTAAGCCCATACCAAGCACATGCCAAGCCCACACCACGCACACGCCAAGCCCACGCTAAGCCCACGCCAAGCACACACTAAGCCCGTACCAAGCACATGCCAAGCCCACACCACGCACACGCCAAGCCCACACCAAGCACACACTAAGCCTGTAACAAGCACACACCAAGCCCATACCGAGCACACACCAAGCACACACTAAGCCTGTAACAAGCACACGCCAAGCACCCACTAAGCCCATACCAAGCACACGCTAACCCCACACCAAGCACACACCAAACACATGCTAAGCTCATACCAAGCACACACTAAGCCCATACCAAGCACACACCACGCACACACTAAGCCCATACCAAGCCCACACCAAGCACACACTAACCCCACACCAAGCACACGCCAAGCACATACCAAGCCCACGCCAAGCACACACCAAGCACACACTAACCCCATACCAAGCACACAATGAGCCCATACGAAGCACACACTAAGCCCACACCAAGCACACACTAAGCCCACACCACGCACACACTAAGCCCATACCAAGCACACACCAAGAACACGCCAAGCACACCCCAAGCCCACGCTAACCCCACACCAAGCACACACTAAGCCCATGCTAAGCACATACCAAGCACACACTAAGCCCATACCAAGCACACACTAACCCCATACCAAGCACACACCAAGCACACACTAAGCCCGTGCCAAACACACGCCAAGCACACACTAAGCCTGTAACAAACACACGCCAAGCACACACTAATCCCATGCCAAGCACACGCCAAGCACACACTAAGCCCATACCAGTCACACACCAAGCACACACTAAGCCTGTACCAGGCACACACCAAGCACACATTAAGCCCATGCCATATACACACCAAGCTACAACCAAGGCCACGCCAAGCACACACCACGCACACACTAAGCCCATACCAGTCACACACCAAGCACACACTAAGCCTGTACCAGGCACACACCAAGCACACATTAAGCCCATGCCATATACACACCAAGCTACAACCAAGGCCACGCCAAGCACACACCACGCACACACTAAGCCCACACTAAGCCCATACCAAACACACACCATGTACACATTAAGCCCGTAACAAGCACACACTAAGCCCACACCAAACACATACCAAGCACACACTAACCCCACGCCAAGCACACACTAAGCCCACACCAAACACACACTAAGCCCACGCCAAGCCCATGCCAAGCACACGCTAAGCCCATATCAAGCCCACAACAAGCACACACCAAGAACACGTCAAACCCATACCAAGCACACGCCAAGCCCACCCCAAGCCCACGCTAACCCCACGCCAAGCACACGCCAAGCACACACCAAGCACACGCCACGCACATGCCCAGCCCCCCCAGCAGCGCGGGGCCGGCGGCGGTTGGAAACACCGTGATGGATTTTTATTAAAATAGGAAAGTGTCGGCCGCGGTGAATTAAAAAATCCCCCCACGGGCCTAGAAAAGCCCCCGGCCCCTGTGGTGCACGAGGCCGTTGCACGAGTCCTTCGCATGAGGCCCCGTGGTGCACGAGGCCCCGTGTCACGTGAGTCTGTTGCACAAGTCCCCTCACACGAGGCCCCTGTGGTGCACGAGGCCCCATGTTGCGTGAGTCGGTCACACCAGTCCCTTGCACGAGGCCCCTGTAGTGCACGAGGCCATCGCACGAGGCCCCGTGGTGCACGAGGCCCCGTGTTGCATGAGTCCATCGCACGAGTCCCCAGCACGAAGCCCCCCCGTGGGCGCACGAGGCCCCCCGGCGCATCGAGTCTGTCGCACGAGGCCCCTCCCGTTGCACGAGGGCTGTGGCACGAGGCCATCGTGTCTGTCTCTCTTGCACGTCCTCCTCGTGGTGCTCCAGAGCGGGGTTGGGGTGTGGGGGGTGTGGATGGTGCAGCCGCGCAGCCGTCGCACAAGGCACCGTGTTGCACGAGGCCGTTGTCGCACGAGGCCACCGTCGCCCGGCCCCCTCCCATCGGCGTCTCTTGCACGTCCTTCTTGAAGGTGGTGTGTCGCACGAGGCCGGGTGTAGCACGAGGCCGGGTGTAGCACGGGGCTGGGCATTGCACGGGGGATGACGCTGCGTGAGGTCATGTGTTGCACGAGGCTGCCCTTGCACGAGCCCCGGGTTGTTGCACGAGGGCTCTGCCTCACGCCGCGCGTCGCACACCACCACCACGAGCGGCACAAGATTGTGCATCGCACCCGTCCTTCCTTGCACAACCCTGTGCACGGCACGAGTCCCTCGTCGCACAACCACGTGCAACGCACCAGTCCTCCCTCGCACGAGGGCCGTGCATTGCCCAAGCCCCTCATCACACAACGCCGTGCAACACACAACCCTCTGCCCCCCCCCAACGTCGCACCACCCCGTGCACGGCACCACTCTTCCCTTGCACGGCTCAGTGCATCGCACCAGGGCACGCCTTGCACAAGTCCCTCCTCGCCGGGCACCGCACAACCCTGTGCATTGCACAAGTTCTTCCTTGCACAAGGCCCTGCTTTGCTGCAAAGCGCCGTGCATTGCACAAGAGCGTGCATGGCCTTGCTCCCTCGCTGCACGACGCCGTGCAGCGCACTAGTCCTTCATCGCACAAGGCCGTGCGTTGCACGAGGCCGTGCCTCCCTGCAGAGCACCGTGCGTGGCACGAGTCCTTCATTCCAAAGAGCCGTGCATTGCACCAGGACTCGGTTGCACGAGGCCGTGCACCCCCCAGCTCCCTTTGTTTCACGATGCCGTGTGTCGCACAAGTCCCCCCCCCAGCATTGCACGACCCTGTGCATCGCACCAGCCCTTCACTGCGAAGCACCGTGCCTTGCACAAGTCCCTCCTTGCACAATCCCCTGCAGGGCACAAGCGTGTGCGCCGCACTAATACCTTGTTGCACAACTGTGCATTGCACGACCCCGTGCATGGCACAAGTCCCTCACGGCCAAACACCGTGCATTGCACGACCCTGGGCACTGCACGACCCCCGTGCATCGCACGAGTCCTTCCTCACAAAGCCCCGTGCATGGCCCAGCCCCCTCTTTGCATGACCCCCGTGCGTCACACGAGTCCCTTGTTGCACAAGGCTGTGCATTGCACAACGCCTGTGCACCACCCAAGTCCCTTTTTGCACGACCCCCGTGCGTCGCACGAGTCCTTCATTGCAAAGCCCTGTGCCTTGCACCAGTCCTTCATCACACAGCCCCGTGCGTTGCACGAGCCTGTGCACGGCACTAGCCCTTCACTGCCAAGCCCCCGTGCACGGCACAAGACCCTCGCTGCACAACCCTCGTGCATCACACCAGTCCTTCATCGCACGACCCTGTGCATCACCCAAGTCCTTCCTTGCACAAGCCCCGTGCGTTGAACCAGCCCTTCGCACGGAAGGACCATGCACAACCCAGCGCTGTGCGTGGCACAAGTCCCTCCTTGCACAAGCCCCGTGCATCACCCAAGTCCCTCTTTGCACAACCCCCGTGCATCGCACGAGTCCCCCTGTCGCACGACCCTGCACTTCGCACCCCCCCGTGCATTGCACGAGTCCTTCATCACACGACCCTTGTGCATCGCATGAGTCCTTCATCACCTGATACACCCCCCCGTGCGTCACATGAGCCCCTCCTTGCACAAGTCCCTCACTCCTCAACCCTGTGCGTTGCACACTCACACACCAACCCCCCCCCATGCTTTGCACGAGTCCCCCTGTTGCACGACCCCGTGCTTTGCACCCCCCTGTGCATCGCACGAGTCCTTCGTCACACGACCCTTGTGCACCACACGAGTCCTTCATCACCTGATACACCCCCCTGTGTGTCGCACGAGCCCCTCCTTTCACAAGTCCCTCATTCCTCAACCCTGTGCGTTGCACACTCACACACTGCC